CTAATTAAATTTTACTTTTTATATTATTATTTCTTTATTATCCTTATTTTTCAGTGACCCAACCTGCTAAATTCGTTTTTTTTCTTCCTGTGAGTTTGGTGGTTAATGATAGAGTATGTTAGCTTATTTTGCCATTGATATCTATTTTTATTTTAGAGTAAGAAGTTTAGATTATCACAAGACAATGATATATATTTGGTAAAGGTGGAGATAACTTTGTAAATAAAATGATAACATTAATTAATTTTAATAATTTGAGTCATCTGACTTTCGATAATCAAATGCATAACTGTAGTAAAAATTTAAATGATTTAATTAGCATATTTGAACTAGTTTTAAATTGATAGAATATGAGGGTAATTCGAATTTATCATCAAACCAAGGATTTATTGGCTTAATACTTGTGTGGGTATATTTTTTTAACATAATGTTAAAGAGTATGGGAATAATTTTTGTAATGGTCACAGATGTGTTAATTTAACTGATTTTAAATAATTTTTAAAATTTTAATTTTTTTATCGAAAATATCACGTTCTTATTAGTCACATTTCACAAAAATATTTGTTTTGACTGTTTAGTACCAGAGAAATTAATGCTAGAATTACACATTGTAACACATTTTTCTAAACATATATATTTTCTATATTGGCTAAAATTTCTTATTTAATTATACTTTCTTAATTTTAATTCTGTAATTTTTAATAAATTATAATCAATAATAAAGTTTATTAATTTAGATTTAAGGTTGTTCATTCTAATTTATTTATTATTATTTTGTCAACTTTAATTAATTAATAAAAAATTTATGTGTTTAAGGGCACACTAATAATCTTCACATGAGAGCTTTAAACTGAGAGACGAAAAGGGAAGAGATATTAAGAACATCTCCAATGGAAGCAACTCATTTGAGTTGTTTCATGCATTGAAAAATGAAAAAAGTGGTCCCTAGTGTGCTATGTCAACATTAAACAACTCAAACACAAATTTATTCCAAGGGTAAGAAACTTTAAGAAATTCAACTTTTAGAATTTTTTTTCTAATCATTTATGAATCAAATTTAAATTTTTATTAAAATGGATAATTGCATTACAATGAAATAAAATAAATTACGAGAAAACATACACAATAAGTAGATATTAAAAATAAAATAAAGTAATAATAAATACATAAACATTATATAAAATTAATTTTCATTATTATTATTTTTGAAACGTTTACAAATATGTTCAATAATTGAAATCTGGTAAGGAACGGTGGCTTGAGGAAGCAACTCTCTCTTCTTCAAACAACTCATGTTGTCACGTCAGAGTCCTTCAATGACAAGAAATCGGGGTTTGAGTTGCTTTATAGGACAAACAACTCTCATTAGAGTTGTTCAAAGGCATTCTGACGCTCAAGTCAAAATAAGTACAAATATAGATAGTAACAATAAATGAACAACAATTTTATTTCGTTTTGTGTGACTATTTATACTGACAAAACTTACATACCAATTTTCATTAGATATAAAAATTTATTACAAATTGGCAAGGATTTCAGAAATATAATTAATATATTTAATTTTATAAAATAAATTATACAGATTTTTAATATATCTTCATTTTTTTTAAATTTCTTTAATAATTAAAAAATACATAAATAAAAGTTCAGAGTATAATAAAATATATTTAATATTACATCGGTGAGTCGGTGACAATCAAATTGAAAGAAGAATAAAAATGTCACACAAAATAAATCGGAAAGGGTAGATTGTAAATACTGTCATTCTTAAACATAAATATATAGCTATACAACAATAAATTTGTACAAACTATAAATTTGTATCCAATCATTTCCACTGTTTTTAATATTTAGCACTAGTACATTAACTAAAATTTATTGTAAATAGTAAATTTTAGTTGATTAACTTATTAAATAATTATCTTTAATAATTTTATAATTTTTAATCAACAATAAAATGTGTTACATTCGTTTGTCCTATCTTTATATTAATTTTCTTTTCTAATTAATATTCATATATCTTCTAACTAATTTTAGTAAATGTCTTATCTTATTTATCTCTTTTTATTAATACTTATTTTTCTCTAAATCAATTAGAATGCATATTTTTTAAAAGGTTTATAATTAATATATTTTTACCAAATTAATATAACATACTTTAATTAGAGGTATTTTAATATAAAAAATTAATATATGAAACAATATAAATTAAATCTTATATAAATAATGAATAATTATTCTAAATTAAATCTTATAAATAAGAACGGATGTATTAACTAGTAATTTACTTTCCTATATTAACCCTCCTTAAAACTTCATATGAAAAAAAATAAAATAAAATTGAGCACTAAAAATACAATCTCAATTAAATGAAAAAATATTTTTGAAACGATAACATAAATTAGATGAAATTCATTGAGTTTTACTTATATTTAATATTTAATACTACGTTTCTATATATAAGATCCATTTACCTAATTCAAAAAATAGTTAACTCAATTGATAATAATAAATTTATTTTATTTATTATTTTTAAATTACCTTTATATTATTTCTATTTTATAATTAATATACACACGCATATATATATATATATATATATATATATATATATATATATATATTAACTGTATGTTTTATATTATTTCTTTCTTTTAATTAATACTCATCATTAATCTTCTAACAAATTAAAGTACATGTTCTTTAATGAATTTATAATTAGTACATTTTACTAAATTAATAGAAGACACTTTAATTAGTTATATTTTAATTTAAAATAATTAATATATGAAATAATATAAATAGAGTCTTATATATTTTAAGTTAAAT